ATAACAAGGATGATGCAGTTCCCTCTCACACTTCACTCCCATCGGGAGCGAAGATTCGGGATTCTGATATTGTATCGTTTCATCAGTAATTATCTCAAAAGTACAGCGTTACAGGCGTTTTCTTGCAGGAATATGTCAGCATCACAGGCTCTCTTTTTTTTTTTTTTTTTTTTCTTCTGCCTCACAACCATTTTGCATCAATTACCCTTCGCAGCCCACACTGTACTTCGTCAAGCCGCAGTTGTCAGTTACTGCTCACTAAATTGATCTCTCACAGGGGATCTTCTACAAGTCTGTTGGTAATTAGTCAGTCAAGGGAATTATCTGTTTTGTTGTCACTGATTGGAAGGGGAAGGGGGGGGGGGGGGCAGTGTGAGGCACAGTCTCAAATACCGATAGTGATTTTGTGTAGGAGGAGTGTTAATGACTTACTGTGCAGACTGATGGATGACCACATTCGTGCGCCTCTTGCCTCCAAGCTGGTAGCAGTGTTCTCATGTCGCCTCGTTTTGGATCGTGTTGCTGCCCAAGATCAGGCACAGAAATATAACCACCCTTACATAAATTGTTATTTTGCTCCATTTGTAAAAAGTAAACATGTTTGATTTATTTAGACAGAAATGAAAATAAGATTTTATTCTGGGAATAAACCAGAGGCAGCGAAAATTCCCTCTGTCACAACCCATAAAGCAGAGTCTTGGCAATTCAAGCTTTGGGAGAGATTTGGCGGATTTCATTCCAAAAATTCTGATTATTTGCTGAAAAAGATATAATACAGTACCCACACTATCCATTTTGTATGATTTTTTTTTTTTTTTTTAAGTGGGATGTCTAATTTTATAATGATAGCCATTTAAAATGAATAACAGGGTATGCATCAGTCATACGTGCCATGTGTTCATTTGTTCATCCACAGGCTGTGTATTTAAACCTGAGTCTAAAGGACAGAAGTTGAGACAGTTAGAAATATCAGATATGTACTATTATGTTTAATGAAGTGGCTCTGTCCATTCTCTCTCTCTCTCTCTCTCTCTCTCTCTGAGGTATGCATGGACTTGGGCAGTGAACGGCTTTGAGGAGGTGGTATAATTGCAGCCTTTGTTCACCTTTCTTGAAAAGCTGCTTGTTTCACAGTGCTCTCTCTAAACGTGTCACTTCCTTTCTGTTCAGCGAGGCTTATTAAGTGCCTACGCTGTGGCAGCTCAGCCCTGCTCTGAAGACACATAGCTTTTCTTATTTGTCCCCTGGAACCTAAAATTGGAGTGATGCTTCCCTGCATCCTGATGACCGGAGCATTGTGGTAACCGTTTTGCCTTACATCCCTCGTGGACCAATTACACTTCTCTCCAACCTCAGACATATTGGTCATCTAGAACCATTTAAATAGCCTCTACAAAAGTTTGCACATTTGTCTTCCTTTCAAAAACATGAAGAAGCTTATCAATACCCACAAGAGCAAAAGGGGAAATTTTGAAGAAGCGAGTATAAAAATCTTATGTGAGCTTGCCAAGAAATTACATATGACCAAAAGGTCACAGGTTATCACAATATGGGCGCAGTAACACTTATCACCTCTTGCTCAGGTTACCTAACGGAGGGAGATTCATGAGGAATGTCAAATTGTTGCTGCAACACAACCTCATTTTGAGGATGTTGGTAAAGCAGAATGTGATCATTTAATTTGACCAATATTTCTCAGCGGCTTCAGAGGCAGGTGTGATTAAATGTGTTACATTAAAGCAAACCTACGTAGTTTTTGAAAGATGTAATAACACATTCTTCATCTAAGATAAGAAATGTTTAATTCATCGGAATTAAAATGCACCCTCAATAAAATCCAATACACTTTTTTGGCTGATGTTGCTACAGCTGTGCTAGGTCTGGTATGACTGGTAGTTTATGGTGGCAAATAATTTGCATCCTGCAGTTCTCACTTTTGGCCACATGTGGACAGTGGCCTCTGTTACATGGGCTCATTTTAAAAAAAAAAGTGGAAAACATGAATTGAAAAAGAGATATTTGTCATTAATTCATGGAGATGGCTGAATAAATCCAAAACATTCAGCAGGCTGGACCCTCTAGCTTGCGTCATATCAAAAAATGGTTTAAAAATTAGCTGGTCAGCTAGGCTAACTAGCTAGCTAAGACAGGATTTGACATGTCTTAGCTAGCTGATTTACTAATAATGAGTGTTTTCGGTTTTTCTTTACTGACATTGTCTTTTTTTCGATCTAACCAACAAAACTGTGGCTGTTACCTCTGAGATTTAAATCAACCAATTGCAAATTGGCAAATATTTGTAGCTACATCCACACTAATATATTTTTATTTTAAAACAGCGCAGATGTTAAACATAACAAAAAATGATGCATTTGAAAACTAATGTATTTGTAGATGTAGGCCAAGTGGTAGAGAGCATCTTTAAATGCAGTGAAGTTCAAATGTACAATATGTTCAGAACCAGGTTTGGTCACAAACAAGGGAATGGAGTGAATGACCTGCTCTTTCAGCCATGCCATTTAATTCACCTATTAGCTGCTTCTCTGTCACTGGTTTACTATTGAACAATCCGACCGTATCAGTATTGCTATTTCTTTGATTTGTAAATGCTTGTTACAGTTACCAATAGACTGTGTTACAGGGTGGGATAGCAGGTTGCTGCACAAAGCTCTATATTTTGTAATGCATATAGGCCATACACCTATCATTATTCAAATTAGCTATTTGTGCTGATTTAATTTTTTTTTTTTAAGTTATATGGATAAATTATTCACAATTTGAACCAGTGCAGAGGTGTTTTAATGCATTAACTAAATTGTATTAACTTTTTCCCATTTTTTTCCTGATAAATTGGTGCTAAGATACTTTAAATAAGTAGCATATTGTAAGTATTGGAAAGACACATGTACTGTACTGTATAATAAAGAATGGAACAGATTCATTTTATAATACAGGCTTTGCTATGTTTTTTGAATAAGTGCTTGTCTGACTTTTGATATGGTACTAAAACTTTATGCAACCCCTCTTATTTAGATGTGACAGTAACAATGTTGGGACTTAACACGTCTGTTGTTGTATACTGGCAACGGTAAGTGCAATAAAGCTTGACTTCAACCATTATTCATCATAATATGAATGTTAAAGGTCACATATTGTATAAAGGTAGATGTCCATGTGTTGTTTGATTATAGATCAGGTCTAGGTTCTATATTAATACAGTGAAGGTATCACAGCGCTCAGTCCACAGAGAAATGCACACAGCCTGTATTCAGAAACTGAGCCTTAAAACCAGCTGTCAGGACTTCCTGTAACTTTGTGATGTCACAACAAAGGAGTCACCGTTCTCAGTCCGACCCCACCTGGACCTACCATCCAACCTTGCAGGATTTTGTATCTTTGAGTGTTTTACCTGAAATCTGCTATATTTTTATTCAATCATTCAGAAAACAGTCAGCCAATCAGAAGAGAGGCTCAGAGCCTCCTCTCCCCTGATTGGCTCACCAACTTGTTGTTACTAGAGCTGCAGAGAGAAGCCTGAGAGAGGAGATGTAAACACTACATTAAGGTTTTTGGTTCTCCTTATCGATCAACACTTCAAATAAAACACCTGAAAAAGTGTAAAATGTGGGACCTTTAAATATAAATTTTTGTAGTGACATTAATTCAGACTATTTTAAAGATCCAGCTCACTCGTATCCTTTATAGATTTAAAATAGTGTCCCTTTGAAATATACTCTGTTCTTCTGCTATCCACCATTGTGAATATCCGCAAGCTGAATATGTAAATCAATCACTAATCTTTTGCTGAAATCAAATTTTATGAACCCTGTGCACCCTTTCCACTTATGTACACAACTTAAAACCCATTGGCTGTGAGCCACGATACGATCTATTAAATCAAAGGGACGTCTTTGGGATGGCTGCTATGCGAACTCTTTTTCTGCAGCCTGGTAAAGGTCATATTTGATCTGTGAATGTATTTGTGCTGTGCAGACAGCTGTAGGGATGATGTTGACTCTCTCCGCTGTAACCAGGCAACAGTGAAATGCCTTCCTGAATCCACATTATATCCACAACAACCCAGGGACTCTATTTTCAATAGGACACCATTTTATCATAAAGCGGCTGAGGAATTTCATTGATCGACCACCTCGCCGTGTGAATACAAATCTGCTTAATTCTCTTAGTCATGCCACGTAATAATGTGACTCGCTGCCAGTTGTGCATCTTTGAACTTCAGTACCCTCTAACAGAGGATAGCTGCGGCAGCTCTGAGATGGATTGTGTGTACCAGTGAATAACAGTTTTAATTCAGTACTATCCAAAACATATCACTTTATTACAATGTTTGAAAAAGAACATTAATATGACAAAATCGGGCAAAACAAATTTATGATCCTGACATGTGAAATCTTAAAATGTTTTTCACTTCACCAAATTCTTGTTTTCCTAACCGGCTCATGATTGCAATGAGAATAAATTGGTCAAAATGGCACCTGATGTGCCGTTACATGAAGGTAGAAGAAAATGTCTTCTTGTGAGCTTATTCAAGAAATTTAAAAGTACATGCATAAGTGGAAATCAAAGAGATGTACCTTATTTTTTTATTTTATTTTTTTTATTTCACAACCTGCTCATATTTGTTTTGATGAAAGTACGTAAGGAAGGCCGGGGGTCAGCAGCTGTACTCGGACATTTCATGGACCTGCAGGCCCGTGTCAGTTGGAAGACGCTGCTTTGGCGTCAGCAGCAGCTATCTTTGAATATGCACCATCAAGATAAGCTCTCACTAAAGTCACAAACGAGTTAAAATATCTATACAGTATTCTACAGTTGTGTCTTGTCTCTGTTTTCCTTTGTGTCTCTTAGATCCGTGGTTCAGGTGGAGACACCTGAGGACTCCCAAAGACCACCTCGGCCCCGTTTCTGAGAAGCCCTCAAACTCAAACTTGGTCACGACAGGATGAGATCTGGAAAATGTGTCAACGAGCGGTGATGCCTCACGGGTTCTTGTAGCTGGCGGATTTCTTTCCGCTGACCATGTAGAGAGGTGGGATTCGGCCTATACAGGTTGATGGGTCACAAAGGCCCGGTGGTCCTGAGGGTCCCCTTGGACCGGCTGCTCCTGGGATACCGGGATTTCCTGCGTCACCACGTTCGCCATTTTTGCCGTCTTTGCCAATACCCGGGGCGCCTGGTTCACCTGAGGAGGAGATACAAAACAGGTTAAGTATTATTAAAGCCTTGTTGATGTAGCTTCCACTTTTTGAGTGAATTAAATTACTACATGCTGTAAAAGGGACAGACACCTTGAATAGCAGTGGACATTTGTTGGACACACGACCCTATTTTCAAAATCATGTCAAAAAGCAGTTTCATCCTCTTTAGAAAAATAAACAGGATGGTATATGACTGGACAGCATATGGTCAATGTGCGAAACCGAGGACGTCATCGCGTCATTTTATAACCACGACATCATCCGACAAAATCATGAAAGACTGTGTTGTGATTTCGGCTGTTATGTCTTATTTTGTCTCGCCCTTAATAGAAACTGTTTGTGCCAATTCATTTAGAAAGTGTAATGGCCAATGGGCAAACTCGGCTGACCAGGGGTGGAACTATGATCACTCAGTCAGTCAGTCAGTCGTGGACATTCGTGATTATAGATCTGTCGTCATTATAGTTTATATTTTGTCACACAAAAAGTGAGGATAACGTAAATTTAAGTAAAATGTATGGACATTTTGAAGACCCCAATGTCAGATATAGTCCAGCCTTACCTGGTGCACCGGGTGCACCTGGGCTTCCTTTGACACCTACGCCGTCCTCTCCCTTGTCTCCCTTGTCTCCCTTTTCCCCAGCATCACCTGCGGAAGAGAAGAGCACACAGAGGACGCACAAATTAATGGCGAGATGAAATGGAGAGGCACACTGTTTCCACAGTTATGGGGATGTAATTAGGAAACTTAATGACTCCACTCTAATTCAGCCTTGTTTGGTGAATCATTGATTGTATAATGTTATGCATGGGTGAATCCCTTCTTTTTCCGCAGAACGCTGTACATGACCGGTGTACTGCCGGAGCCCACAGCCTTTGTTTTCTCTAAAGGATTCATTTAATTTCTTGCCACCACGTCCGCTGTAGCTCTGGATGCTCTCCAAGAAAATGAAAAGAAAAGCGAAAAGCTATCACAGCACCAGAGCTTATCCATCACTGTGCTGCTGAAACACACACACACACACACACACACACACACACACACACAGCATTTGCAAACCACTTAAGGTGTCTTTGTTGGACTTCAGTATTGAGCAGTGGAAAAGGTTTACTGACCTTTCTTGCCCGGTCCGCCTGGAAGTCCGAAGAAGCCCGGTGGGCCTTTGGGTCCCATCAGCCCTGGAGCTCCTGTTGCTCCTGCTGCTCCAGCTGCTCCAGGGGGGCCAGGAGGTCCTGCCGGTCCAGGGGTGCCAGGGGCACCAAGGGCTGCTGGCATCTTCAGCAGCTCTTTCTTTAACGCTGCTAATTGTTCTAAATGTACAGATAACAAATTCAATGAACACACTAAGCAGTTTATAGTATTCACCTGTAATAACACAGTCGTATCACGGGTTAAATATGAGTTAAGACGGGATAAGATCAAATTAAAGTGAACAAACTGCACCTTCCACAACGGCTGAGCACATTTCCCGAAGCTGCTCGTCACTCACTTTCGGGCCCTGTGAATCCATGAACATCAGTGACTGATGGTTGGTCGAGCCACGACTACAGGTTTATAATTTATCACACACATACCCTGAGAACTAGCAGGAAACACAAACCCTCTACATGCTAGCAGCTCTGTGAGGCTGTGCTTTGACCGAAATGCCGGACCGAAACATTAGCTTGCTAAGAATGTGTACATGCTCTATATTTGTAACTGTAACACTTACAGGTAGACCTCTGGGACCTGGCGCTCCGGGAAGGCCTGGTTCTCCCTCCAGCCCTCGAGCTCCCATCGGCCCGGCCAAACCCTCGTGTCCCGTCTGGCCCGGTCTGCCATCGATGCCCGCTGCTCCTCTTGAGCCCTTGTCTCCACGCTGATGTTGAAAGAACACAGATCATCACCGGTAGAACCTCATTCCTTGTTTGTATGTGTGTAAAGGTTTCATCAAGACACGTGGGGGAACTAGATCAGCTGGTTTACGTTGTTATAATTCATTTACAATGCAAGCCAAAATAGCAGGTATCACAGCACACTGGTGGAGTTATCTGTTTCTATGTGAAAAGATCCTCAGGAAACAGCTTAGAGACAGAAGTGCGCTGCAGCTGAAGTACAGACGGTAGATTTTAAATACCTCTCCTTTGAGTCCAGTAACACCAGGAGGACCCTGCAACAAACAGAGATCAGCTGACATCTTTCAAACCCACTGACAGGAAAAATTGTCGCATTTTCCAAACAGATATGAGTCCTCAAAACAACAAACGTGGCTCCACGCACCTGGTCTCCCTTCACGCCGGGATCTCCCGCCATTCCCGTGTCGCCCTGTCCATTGAAGAAAAACAATGGTGAGTGACCGTCATTCATCACAGATTCATTTAAACAAATACAGACATTATAATAGTCCTCACCAGACTTCCTTTTGGTCCCATTGGTCCCATTGGTCCCTAAACAACACATGGAAAAACATGATGCGCTTCACTGCACCTGCAGACTCTCATCATAATCAATGTTTTAAAGTAGCAAAGGTAAAAAAAAAGAGACTTGTCTTACCTGATCACCTTTGTGTCCAGTGTGACCCTTGAATCCTTTGGCACCGGTGTCACCTTTATCTCCTTTATCACCCTGGAAATACCACATTTTATATCGCGCACATCTCTTCTATACATGTTTACACTTCTTAGGATTTAAATTTAAGTGTCAGTTTATGAAACTTTATGATAATATCGTCTCACCTGGATGCCTGCGGGACCTGCGGGCCCCACCGGCCCCTGTTTTCCTGTTTCACCCTGGAAATTGATTATAGATACAGTTAACCCATCAACCATAGTTTACCCGTCAGCTCGGTGATATGTACCTGAAACCTCTATTGGAAAAAAAGCAACTAACATCCGTCAAAATCAACAGACGGACATTCACATTAATGGAGAGTAAGTGTAAACTCACAGTTGCTCCTTTAACTCCTGATTTTCCATCTTCTCCATCTTTTCCAGTCTCACCCTGTTTGGACACAAATGATTGTTGATGGGTTTGAAAATATGACTTGAATCAAAACAGCTAAATAGATAAATATAATTATGAATATGACAAGAGGCGTAATGGGGTTAATCTTACAGTTTTCCCAGGAAGTCCAACTGGCCCGATGGGTCCCTCAGCACCACTATCACCCTAAATCCACAAAAGAAACGTCACTGAGTTAGACATCAGTTTTTATCTTTATCAGCACAAACACTCTTCTACTGAAATCGACTGCAGCAATAAAATGTTGGATATACAATGTGTAAATGCCTCATTAAATAGCAGATGATTCCAATTACCTTTGCACCAGGGGGTCCGACGACTCCCTGCTTCCCCGGCAGGCCCTGGGAACAACAAAACACCGTATGAAAAGAAGCAGAAAATGAATGTGTCATTGCTGCGGCATCCTTCAACCCTGTGTCTGTGGAGTGTGTTGACAAGACTGAAGGCCGATGAGGTAAAGTCCGACACATCTAAAACTTTTTAAATACTTGTGAACAGGGCAAAGAGTCTGCAACAATAAGACGATTAATCGATTAGTCTGCACTGCTTTTCTGCAGCTGTTTTGATAATCGATTAGTGGTTTAAATTTTTTTTTGTTCCGGCCTCTTAAACAGACAAAACAAGCAATTTGAAATTGGGAATGGCATCTTGTCAATTTTTTTTTTTTTTAACTAATCAAATAAATGAATCTATAATGAAAATGATTATCAGTCGCAGCCCTGATCAGAATTATAACTACAAGTTCTTGTTAACGTCCAAGCCGAGAGACTGTCTTTAAGACGTGAACACTAACAAACAGTAACATGGGAATCTTTCCCACCTTTACCATCCACCCTGTATGAGCTGAATGAGACCTGGAGCTAAATGCTAAAAGCTAAAAGCTAAAAGCATGCTAACATACTGACGTTTACCATATTCACCATCTTTGTTTAGCATTGAGATATTTCACTGAGAGCCACAAAACTATCCTTGCTGGTGGCGCTGGAGAAAAGGTCGAGAGATCACCAGAGTGATTACGATTCAGTCTGTCATTGCCACTTCTGTAGCCGTGCTGCCAGCATGACTGAAGAGGCAGAAAACAAACCCTCTGCTGACCTACGTGTAATACTTAATCTTATTATGGCAACAAAAACAGACAGATGTGTATCCTTACTTAAAGAATACACAAGTTCCCAGTTACGCAGTTTATATACGAACTGACACATCATCCAAAAAGGTTTCCTGGAAATAAAAGACCAGACTGTGTATCTTCTTTTAGGAAACGGTGAGATAAATCTATGAAATCTAATGCACCTTCTCTGTTTCTACAGTCAGTTTTACCATTCGAGCCACATCTGCCGCCTCTCACCTCGCAGCTCTACAGGCAAAGGTACTGTAGATGTGTTCTTGGCATCACATTGTCTTTCCTGCTGGTTGCTTGACTTCTAATGATTTATTCATCTGACCTCCCCTGTAGCCTCAAACAGGAGCTCTGCCCTCTGCTTTCACTAACTTTGCAATAAAAAATAAAATGGTCCAAATTCATAATTAACGACATGACCTGTAATTGATGATACGTGCAGACTGCCACAGACTGTTATTGATGTAGAAACACAATGAATATAAATGATGTTGGACTTACTGGAATACCCACAATCCCCCTGACACCGCCAGCTCCAGGTGTACCAGGCTCTCCCTGTTGAGTAGATTCACAGTTTATTGCATACAAGTAGAATAATCAATAATACACACACACACACACACACACACACACACACACACACAGCACAGAAGCTACTATATGCTACATTTATGGGACAATGGTGCCCTCCTAACGTTAGCTAACATTAGCCACCGTAGGCTACAGGTCGTACCAGTCCAAGTAAGGCTGTAGTCACCCGGGTAACGCCTGAGTATACTGAACTGATATGAGGTGTGTTTTATTGTTTCATTATTTATATGTTACATGTTGTTACCATAAACTAAAAATCAGACAGTCTCTGATATATACTAGGAAGGAATTTAATCTTTGGACGTTTTAGCTTTTTTCCTTTTTACGTTTGATTTTGTTGATTTTTGTTTATTAATTATTCTTTAATTTCGTAAATTACAGCTACAGCTTACAGCTTTAAAAAATATGGACAAAATATCTAAATAACAAACTTCCTGTTACACATGAAAACTTCAGTCCTTAAGCAGTAAATTCTGTTCAGTATTCACATGGGTTTTACTGGGACAACCTTTCTCTGCCTGGTATGAACACTAGCTTATGGTGGATAATGTTAGTCCACTAAATAGACATTGTTTTAGTTTCCAAATATAGTGAGGTCTATAAACTGTATCAAAGGCTTTACCCTCTAAAAACTATAAAAGAAATCTTGGTTGAAACTCAATTTTTCTTTTTTGAGAGAGAGAGAGAGAGAGAGAGAAATGTTAAGTTATTGAATATTGGAATAAAACATTGGCTGTTTAAAATTAGAAGTCACCTTAGCACCATCAGTTCCAGGAAGTCCATCCAAGCCGTCTGCACCTGGCTCCCCCTGTGAGGCCACACTATACAGTTATAACCCAGTCTCACTCTAAACAATGGTGCTAAAGAATGAATGATCCACAATGCCATCAGTATACTTACCACATCTCCCTTCTCTCCCTGAGGTCCTTGCTCTCCTTGAGGTCCCACAGCTCCCTAATCAATATCAAAGCACAGGTCTTAAAACTGAAACAGTGTTTTAAGGTAATAGGTTGAAATATAATCCAGAATCTAAGTTGAAGAGTAGAGCTCACATCGTCACCCTTGGGCCCCTGCAGACCCTGACGTCCACGGATTCCCTCCACACCCTGTGAGACAGGATTGAATCAAAAGTTTATCAGTTACTTCCTGCCCGTTTGTTCTTACAGTAAAAGGAAATAGAGCTGATCAAACTAAGAACTGCTTACAGGAGCTCCAGGTGGGCCGGTGGGTCCTGGGACGCCATTGAAACCAGGAGCACCCTACGAAGAGAAAAGTCAGAACCCATTTTTTATCAGAGACACCAAATGGTTAGTGGAAAACATCAATTTAATATTTTTCAAAATGTGATGAAGGTTTGGTTTAACTTACTCTGTCTCCCTTCTCTCCCTCAGGCTCAGGGAATCCAATCGGCCCTCTTTGACCCTGCAGTGACAAAAGAGCGTTTAATATATATATATATATATATATATATATATATACATATATATATATCACTTCTCCTCATAAAGACGCATACAGCACTGAGATAATACCATAATAATAAAATGTAAAGAAAAGAATGAATTCTCTCACATCATCTCCCATGCGACCCGGTGGCCCCTGAGCACCTGGTGTCCCTGCGTCTCCCTGTGGAAAAAAACAAACAGGAACAAATTCATTCAATTGTGAGAAGAGACGTAATAATATTACACTTTTTATCATTATGTATTTCAATACATATGACATAGAAACAAGAACACACACTGGGATTTGTTGATGTTTGTTGAGAGGATGTTTCTGTTTTCACTACGTCTCACGTACCTTGTCTCCGGGCACTCCATCTTTTCCAGGATCACCAGCCAAACCTTTGTGACCCTGAAGGCCACAATGAAATTAGTTAGTCCTCTGACCCTCTTGAAATAGCTTAACGTTACAGCTGCAGTTACACATGAAAATAATGCAACGTTTATAATAAATAAATAAAGGCAATAAACTGGACACCATGATGGATAAACCATCTCAAACTTTAAGTTGATTTTCTTCACCATGTTTAGATCCAGGGGGTGAAGAATGTTAAGTGCTAAAAAACTGCAGTACCTCAAATGACCACTAGGGTCTGGCTCCAAAAGTGATTGAATCCCCATAGATTCCCACGTTAGAATGTCCAACTTTACAGCAGAAATAAATGGCAGCTGTATGGGGGTGAATTTTTATATAACTCACCGGTTTAAATTTCACTAAGGCTTAGAGTTATGCAAAACTGAGGGCCCATTTTTGGATTAACTGGGACTCAGGCGTTGCCAAGGTGGCGACAGCAGAGCAGCCCACTCAGTTTACATTAACTGCAGTGGCAGTCTTATAGAGCAGTATAGAGGTTTTGAGGTTAGACAGTGTGAACACAGTGTTTTTACTGCCTCTTGACAGCCGAAGCAGGAAGCCTCGTATTTGATAGTCTAAACCTTTCAAGACAAAATTGCTCAATTTAAATCCTTTGGTTACAGTTTTGGCTTTCACAGTGGTTAAATCACTGAACATCCTTCATTGACATTCCTCACCTTCATCCCCGGCAGTCCAGCCATTCCCTGAGGTCCAGCAGGGCAGGCGGCAGGACACTACAAACACACACAGACGGGATTGAAGTGAGACACGGGACAAAATAGACAGCCAGATACCTCAACAGACATGGCTGCTGCAGAGCCGCTTCGACTTCAGTGACTCATACTGATAAGAAATTCACTGTCACCAATCCAATTGCCATGCATCCAGGAAACATTTGGCAGAATATAAGACAGTGAAACACTCACAGCTTCCCCACTTCCCTCATTGCTGGCACCAGGCGGTCCCTAAAACACAGCAGAGTGACATCTAAAACAGCCGCGGGGGTTTAGATGTCCGCATAAGTCCAGATTCCCACAGAGGTAATGTGAAAAGAGACTGCAGCATGCAACTTCATCATAAGCTCATGATTTCACATGGAAATCTGAGCTCAAGAAGAAATTCAACAGTGTCCAGATACAGGTGACAAATTAATATGAGAGCTGTTAGAGTTACACCTGTACAGCAGGTGATCAATATACAGTATGGCTGATATAAGGCGTGCAGATACTGGTTATTCAGCTTTGTCAACATTGGCATGATACAGTCAGTGGTATACTGTTGTGTTCTTTAGATCGGACCAGGCCTACAGCACCCGGTCTATGAGAAGCCTCTGATGAAAAAGGTTACACAGTACAGGACCTGAAATCCTTGGCATGAAATACAAACACACACTGACATCCTATCAGCAAATATTGAAAATCCCAAATATCTGTATCTGCATAAAGCTCAAAATCATATGTGTGAAAACATGAAAGGTGGGAAATTAAGGATAAAGTCGTTGATGTCAACAAAACGTGGGTTAGATCTGGTCCTCACCACAGGCCCTGGTGGACCAGGAGGACCAGGAAGTCCTGCCGTGCCGGGGGTCCCTCTGGGTCCAGGTGGACCCTGCCAGTGCAAGAAAACAATATCAGAACATTTGATATCAAACAAAACACAAAACACCAAATCTTTTAAATATAGAACAGGTTAATGATGCTGTAAAACTCAGTGTGGAGCTGGTTTATAATCTTTTCTTTGTTTTATTAGGTACACCTGTAAAATCCAACAAAACAGCTCAGCCATAAATTCTACCATCAATAGTCCTGATGGTCAGCGTTATGCAGGTGTTGATTTAACTGTGTTTATTACTGAGGTCGTAGGTTGCAGTGGTGTTGACCGGACTGCGTTATACTGAGAGCTTTTTCTAATGCTCTGCCCACATTTACAAACACGAGTGGACAGGAATATTATAAACAATACGATATAATAGAATAGAATATACGCAATGTACCAACAACATAACAAACTACGACCTCGGGTCAAATCAAATCAAATCAAATCAAATCTTCTGACTCATACACATCTGAAACATGACTCATTATTTTTGTCTTGGTAAATCTGTTCTCTCTAAAAATCTATTTGTGATTTTTTCAATTGAGCCTCTGACCTCAGGCCCGATGTTTCCTTCGTCTCCTGGGATTCCTGGTTTCCCTGGTGGTCCCTGTTAGACACACACACACACACACACACACACACACACACACACACACACCAGTTAACACAGCAGAACGCTTTGCTGGTACAGGTCTGAGAATAAAACGTGAGAGAGAAAACGTAGCAAACACATACAGCGGGTCCTTCACTCGCTGGTCCCTGTGAAGACACGGAGCAAAGGATATATGAGTATTAGCAGTTTCTCCATAATCGCATCACAGCAGCGTCACCTACATGCATGGTGCTTTAATGAGGGATGTTTCCACTTACAGGAGGACCTGCGGGTCCAGGAAAACCAGGAAGACCCTGCAAGGAGAGAAATAAAGCAGCAACACTGTTACTGTATACAAAAGAAAACCAAAAACAATGAATGGATGATTTTGCAATGATCTAAATGTTTACTCACTCTCTCTCCTACAGACCCTCGGGGACCCATTGGGCCTGGAGTACCCTGCAGACACAACCACACAGTCAAATCAACATGGCGACAACGTTCACTGACAATGACTATATTGGATTTCGCTCATATTTCTATTTCATATTTCAATATGTTTTTAGAAGAGAAACAGGGCCTGGGAGAATAGACACTCACTAACACACACACACACACACACACACACACACACACACACACACACAGTACTGGCAGACATTATAAAGAGTGTTGTGCTCAGTGTATGAGGTGATGTTTCCTACAGAAACTCCTGGAAGACCAGGCAGGCCTCTCTGTCCAGGAAGACCGATCTCCCCCTGCTCCCCTTTGCTGCCCTGGGAAACAGACACAACAAGAATAACAGGAGCTTTATCTTCCCTCCTGAATCTCCTCGCACTGTTGCTAAGATACACAGAGGCAGTGACAGTCAACATTTAATCAATGGAAGGTGGGCCGCTCTCTCGTTGTTGTTTCCTTAGATCAACGACAAGCCCGGCTCTCGCGCAGGGCCATGCAGATAACAGACGGGCCGGACAGGAGCAGAGCGACGATGAATGACGGAGACACCAGGAAACACGTTGCCTCCAGTTTACCCTCAAATTCAATCAGTAACAGTCGCTGAAAAGTTTCACGTCTGTTGTGTGTCAGTGCAAATACATTTTGTCAGGCTGTTTGTTGTGTTGTCTGTGAGAAGAAGATTCAACGTGCAGAGAGCGTCACAGAGATGAATGTGCGGAGAGGTTGCACACAGAGAGAGAGAGATAACGCTTGTTTTCTTTCCTATGTTGTCTTGAAAACGGTGACTTCCCACTTGAAGTAGACGCACTGTCACGCTCGTCAGCAGCCTGCAACTTTCTTTAGGATTTCAAGTGACTTTGTGTCAAGCAGGAGTTTTTTCTTTTTTTTTTTTTTAATCCTGGAAGAGGGGACGCAGAAAAGACGGATATAGAAACTATATTACAGCTCTCCACAGACATTTATCCACTGCAGGTTAAGACTAAACCTCCAGACCTCACTTTTTCTACAAATCATTACACACAGAACAGAAACTTCACCCTCATTTTACAAAGCATTTTTAAAAATCTTTTTTTTTGCCTCCCTCGTCAATCTTGCATCGCTTTGTATTTCTGTGTCCACGTGCACGACGTGTGTTGTCGGTAAATGTACAGCACCCAGTGGGAAGAGGGAAAGATACAGAATTGAGCTAATGTCTTGCATTAGCTTGGCAAGCTAGTTTAGGTTATGGGGTAGGTTTGAGTCTGGGTTAAAGGTATGTGAAGAGCTGTAGTGTGGTGTAAACATTTATAAAAATATATGTTGATTTGTTAAAGCCTGGTAACCCAATTGTATATTACATTATATGTCATTGATAAACTAGATAAAACCTCATCTTTGCAAGTTTTCCAAAAAGAAAAAAAGAAATCACAGCTTAATTGGAGGCACTGGAGACCCATGGCAGAAAGGAAGGGGAGCCATCGACTTGGACAAATCTGTTTTGAAACTGTGCGAATGCTTGAACAGAAGTGAAGTGAATCTGTTCCCTGACGTATCAGACGGCAAACAAAGGAGGATGCTTCAACAGGCTGCAAGTATTCTGTCAGTGAATCATTTAGCATTTTGTACTTACAGGTGATCCCGGACTGCCAGGAGACCCTGGAAGACCCTGGAGAGACGAATGAAACAACGCAGTCAAAGGAAGCAAAAGATGCTGAGAGAAGTTACATGTTGACAGAAATGGGTCAGACAAAGAAATTTGTAGAAAGAATAGTTGTTATTGAGGAGGAAATACTCACATCTCTTCCATCTCTGCCATTTTCTCCTGAGGGCCCTCTGGGGCCCTCTGGACCGGGGGCTCCTGGGGGCCCTTGGACTGATTTGTCAGGCTGAGGAAGGAGACAGCCAGTCAGAAAATGGTAAAGATACTGAAGACTCCATTGAAAAATAAAATACAAATCTATGTTTTAAGAATAGATTTAAGATACAAAATGATCGAGCTTCTTAAGATACATTCAGCCTGTAACAGCCTGCAGGCGTGCTTCTAACTGGGGCATCAGTTATAATCCATATATCTCTGTGCTAAATTGATTTACAGTCTGAATACATAGCTATGTGAAATGCTGCATGAATGCATGAATGTCTACCTACACAAACCTGGAAAAAAAAGAACAAAACCACCACCGTAAATTAGATATAGAACAAAGCAATGAGGCAATTAGACAACCAAAGCACTGAAGTAGATTATTGGCTTAAAATCACAGAGCAAAAAGAAGGTAGAAGAGAAAAATAAATACCTCAGCATTGGCATACATCTGAAGAAGCAAGAGAAATCGGATAAAGGGAGAGTTAGTGAAAGTAGTCACACCACCCTCACCAAAAGTGTCAGCAGAAGCGCACCTGTTCACAATCATGGTAGTGAGTATATCATGCTGATACACAGCCCATAGTACCACCAACACTCCCCCAGGTTAGCCTGAATCTAATAGAGTGCACCAGGCCAGGAAATATTTCTGTCTACAGTGGATAGAAACATTTGCATCTTGATACAAGTGACTGAATTAAAAACTCTCTCCAGATAATCCTAATTCATTCCACTGCATCCTTTACACACAATGAGATGTGAGACAGCAGAGTGGCATTTTCATTATAGGCTACAAGTACTTCTCAGAGGCAGAAATCTCATTAATTTGTGCTCACGCCGAGCTGAAATGAAAGATAATATTCAGTCATAGATGCCATAAGCCCCATAGCACCTGACGCAGTGTGTGTGTGTGTGTGTGTGTGTGTGGGTGTGTGTGTGTGTGTGGGTGTGTGTGTGTGTGTGGGTGTGTGTGTGTGTGTGGGTGTGTGTGTGTGTGTGGGGCTGTGTGTGTGTGTGTGTGTGTGTTTTCATGGCCCTGTGGATGACATTGTTGTAACTTTTCTGGAAACAGAAAATGTCATGGTTGCCTCGTGCTGCATCAGCCTCTCTGCCATTAAATGCTTTCTCACTGATTTCCCATTAGTTTACACTGTTGAATGATTTCTAAAAGCCCGAAAGCTTAAAGATTCCCAACAGACAAGATGGTAAGTATGACTGAATGAATTAGCAGTGTGGGGGTAAAAATACTGTGCTATGACAATATAGCACTATTTCAAGTAAATGTACAAAACATTAATTTGAACGATAGACTGTGGCGTCCGTATTTGTTAACCTAAAGAGCCGATTAACTTTTAGAAAAATCAGACCTTCCAGGTTACGACTTGGTTGTTGACATGAAAGATGCTGTTAAGTCAGAAACTGGCGATTAAAACATCAAATTACATAAACTAAGCTTAATCTCGGTTAATCATAAAATCACTTTTCAGAGGCAAGATTTTCTGTGCGTTAAGACTGAGTGTGAGGCAGTTTTTAGAAGTGGCACAACTGCGTACAAACTCAGTGGAAAGAGTTCATGTTTATTCAGGGGATTTATGTCTCTACTTAATAAATATACAGAGACAAGTGGGAAATAACAGAAAGAACTACAGTTCAGTTAGCACGTGTTTCTAGCTAGCTTACAGCTAACGTCTGTTTAGTGTACTGGCTGTTTGGGGCAAATTAACATAGACACCACAAACGGTGCAACACTCAAATTTGGATGAATCAGTTAATTAAGGCTAAAACTAGCTTCACTTCCTGTCTGAACCTCTTGCTGAGGTTAAATATCGAAGCTAAAGAACCTAATTTCCTCTAGCCAAACAAAAGATGAAGCTACCTTGTGAAGCTATATAAAGCTCATGCTAACATAGCTAAACTAGCTTGGTTAGCTAGTTAAGCTAACTTACGTCTTGATTCCATTCACTTTGCTGTGCGTTCCTTAGCAACAAAAGGTGGACAAAACCCACCTTTAATGGCGGCAGGTATTGTTTTGCACTCCCTGTCAGCTGATAACAAGTAGCAGCAGGTAGTGTGTCTGCACCACGGAAGTTAATTAAGGTAATATGTAACCTGTTAAATCATTGTCTATTCTACTAATATTTATATTAAAATTTTTGTGTGGAAAACGTCAGTGCTAAACCTTTTCAGCTCAGATGTAGCGATGCAAAACCATCTTCTTGTTGTGAGGCCACATGTGGTAGTTGGGTACTTGTTTTTTTTTTTCGTGTTGCCAAGTGTTACACATATTCAGTGCTGAATTTAAACGAAACAACGGTAACCACACGACTCTGGCACTACGCGGACTACGCACGTCGTTAATTTGATCGCACTTACTCTTTGTTATTAAAGTTGCAGTTTGTGTTTTTTGGCCAATGAGATCATGTCTGCCTGGATCTAAACTGCTCTGCCTCTAAGAAAACTTTGTAGAACTACAGAAGAATTTGACAATAAAAATAAAAACTCTTAATTTGTAAATTGTTTTGGATGAATTGCAACTTCTGGATGTAGTAAAGGAAACTGCTTTGTAGGGTATTTGTTACACCTCTGCAGCTCCATCTCAGCATTTCTGCCTTGTTTTCCTTCCAGCTTGCTGGAAGCCCTATCAACCTGAATAAAACCACAAACCACAGCAGATGCTGAGCAGATCTGAGTCCTTGTTACTGTACCTCAGTGGCCGGCAGCTCGTTGCAGCTCTCTCTCTGGGCTCTCTTTGGGTCGCAGTGAATCAACATCCACTGGAGCTCGAACTGAAAAGAGATTTTAACATCACTGGAAGTGCAATAGGATGTGCATTTTCATTTCATTTTCATAAGTGACGTTGAAAAAAGTTTTTTGGTGCTTTGTCATGGTGCAGTTTTGTTCTTGGTAGTTTTGAATTAATGCACGCTATATAGGTTGCAATTTTCTGCAGGGATTAAGTTTTTTTTTCTTCCTCTGGAACCCAGCTGAGCAGCTTTGCTGTGACAGCAGAACTTTAAAATTATAGCAGAGCTCAGCACACATGTAAACCTGAATGTGTTTGTTCACAGGGAGCACCGTTCCACTGATAGAGCTCATTAGGAGAGTCATGATTAAATGCAGAAGGCAATTCTCCATCCTCACTCACCACTACGGAGGCGTCAGGATCAGCATCCAGCCTGCCAATGAGAGTGTCTCCCTCTGTGTTGATGGGGCCTTTGCCCTTGATGGGTTTCTGGTCCACGGGCTGGCAGTCCACATACAGAGTGACCTGGTCACGCTCCACGCCGATCATCACCTTGTGCCACTTGGTGTTGAAGAGCACAGAGAGGCCGGGGAAGGTGACGGTCTGCAGGTTGCCGTCGGCACCCATCAGGAAGTACTCCAGGGCCTGCTGGTCGCCATTCAGCCTCAGTCCGGCTTGTTTGTTACCGTCTTCGTCCACTACTTGCCAGACGTTCCACACCTTGTTCACCGTGTTCTTGATCATGCGGAAGGTCGCCATGAAGGAGTACTCGTCCGGGAAGCCACGAGGAAAGTTTAGCCTGAGAGGGAGGATGTAGAACAGGGGTTCAAATCAGCTGATTAGGGTTCAAGTTCATCAAACTCAGAGATATTATAACATGCTTTTACTGAATGACACTCAAAAGAAAAGGCCGAACACATCTCTCAGCTCGCCAGGTTATGAGTCCTTAAAATATATTTTATGTCAAAGTTAATTCATGATCACAAATTAAACACCACTCAGCAAAATGAAGAGCGAGATGTGGATAAAAATAACACAAAGGCTTGGCAGCTCTGCCCTTGAGAATCAAAGAAGAATAAATTACAGCTACAAGCTTCAAAGAAGCAAAGATATTGTAGTTTTTAAGGCATGCTATTGTATCACAAACGAGAGGCTGCCTCAGTGCATAAATCACTGCTTCAATTACACAATGCAGTTCTGGTTAGTATCCCCAGTCTGGTGCTTTCTGTGTTTTTAACAAGCCACATTCTCAGTTGGTGGTACATTCATAGATGGGCGCTGCAGCCGGACTTTTACCGTCTTGTAAACGATCAAGGTGAGGCAATAAAAAAAAAGAGTTTCCTGTAACCCAGTAAAGCAAATGAAGACCACTGTCTAGCTTTGCCCCAAGGTGAGAAAGTCTGAAGTATGTGCTGCTTTTGCCCCGCAGAAGAAAAGAACAGGGAGTGCAGCTTAAAGCAAAGACGGACTTCAAAGCACAGTCTGTGTCGCTGGACTGGTAGGGGAAATAAACACGTATTTACATTCAGTGTGACAGGCCCGAGTGGTGTCGACACAGGGTGCCAGCGAGTTACATAACAGCTTCTAAGGAAAGCTGGCCTGCAGGAAAAGATTAGCCAAAACAGACTGGAGCAGGCACACTGGGAAACACCAGAGACGTGTTTGGTTATGTAAAGCGATAAAAACCACCCTCTGTCCTGAAACCTGTATTTTTGCATTTTTGTCTTGACAGGATTTCATTCACTTTTGTTTAAAAAAAAAAAAAAAAAGTGCAAAACACAAGCACAGAAATGTCTTCATATCGTTGTGGTAGTTGTTACGCAGAGCTGGATTATTGACTGGGCAAAAAGAGGGCAGCCGTCCCAGGACCCTCGACTCCCAAGAGCCATGAATCTCCCATGGTTCAATACGTGTCTTTGATTTTTTAATTTGTGGCCATTCATTGGAAAAGTAGCAGCACCAACTTTACACATGATGTTCAGTTTTTAACCCTGTCCCCTAAAAGTTTGGTTTATACACAACAAATTAGCAACAACAGAGATATTTCGAAGGAAACATAAAGCAGAATAGATGATGTTTTCTATTAACATAGTGCCGTGATGGACAATTTCTGTTGGAACCCTTTTTGGACTCCTATGTTTGGTCATTTGTTTCATTTCCTGTTTTATTTTTGTATTACTTCCCTTGTGTGTCTTGTGGTTATTTTACTTCCTGTCTTTGTCCCGTTTCCCTCATGGTTGATTGTCTGCCCCGCCCTAATGTGTTTCACCTGTGTGCAATTACCCTCGCCTCCCTCGTGTCTATTTAGTCTCTGTGCTTCCCTTTTGTCTTTGTCAGTTCGTCCTGTCGTCTGTGGTTCTCCTGTTTGCTTCGGCTGAGTTTCTCCCGCTGTGTCTCTTTGTGCTTCCGCTTCAGTTCATCGTGTTTTTTGTTAGTTACACTTTCAGTTCCTCAATTTTGGCCCTTTGTTATGGATCTGACTGGATTTCATTTCTGTTCCGTTAAGAAATCTTTATTTACCACCTACGCCTTTCGTCCTCTGTGTTTGGTTCCAAAAATAAAAACTGTGACACGTAGTTCATGTCTTTGATAAGTCACAAATATTATGTCAATAAAACATCCATAAATAACTGTGGACTCCATCATATATGTAGCACTGCAGGGTTATTAAACTACTCGTGGTTATGTTTAGACTCTCACAGAACTTGGTTGAGCTTAGAGAACGATCCAGGTCTTTGTTTGACACAGAAGAACTTCACGGTGACTTCAGACGCAACCTATTCAACCAAAACCACCATCTTTTTCTTTAACCTTAACCAAAACACTGTTGTTGCAGGAACCAGACCACAGACGGGACTCTGGATGTGAACGCTGGATGTCTTTCACTCCCACCACGTCCAGGTGCAGTTCATAAATGTGGGGCTTCATTTACTCAAATAAACGAAACTACATCTGAATATAACCCAGCCAGAGGTTTTAGTTTATCACCACAGTGGGAAAACAATTGAATGATATATAAATGTAATTTCTAGGAAACAGAGTTGCGTGGGGAGCATGGTTTAGATTGAGAAAGTAGTTGCAGAATTTCATGTGTGACTCTGGGGGGAGCTTTTCCAAAGCTTGAAACAAAATACGTCTGATAAGATCATCAGTTTTCTAAAAAATGAGGTTGGAGAATAGAGATTTTTAACTGAAATTGTGCATCAAAAACTGGGGTATGTAATTTGAAAGACGTGAGGTTTAACCAGGCGGTGTGGGCCTAATGAAAAGAGAGCATTTGTTGCATTGTGGGTAATATAGGATCCAGTGTTTTTTGGAGCTTGAAGCATAATCAATGAAATTATATTCAAAATGGTTGTCAATTTTCTGTTTGCATTATTTTGGATTCATTGACTTGTAGTTTCAAAACAACAACCATTTTTTTTCTCTCTTTAAAAGGGGGGGGGGGTCCCACTAGGGGGGATCCATGGTTTATTTTTAAGACCAAGACTCCCATCTGCGTCACAACTAACCTTTAATTACAAACTGTGGAAACTCTTCACAGGAAGCCACTGCTGTCAGCACCTGTTATTTGGTTTTATTTTCATTCTGGGAGTCCATACAACTGAAGATAAATCATTACCGCCTGGTGAAATATGTCTCTTCACATTTCCTGGAGATACAAAGTACGTGCTTTTCTGCCCACTCACTCTCTCTCTCTCTCTCTCTCTCTCTCTCTCTCTCATACACACACAAAAATACCTCCACTCTGGTTTTGCGTCTAAGAAATGCCAAATAGGTTCAGACATGTTTTTCTCTACCAATTATACGCTGCTCGCCGTGCAGTAACATCTGTGCCAGACCTGTAATAACGCAACACCTGCATCAGGAGAACACTGCTGCTCTCTCCAGCATTTGTCTGTATTTTTATCTGGTTTCTTTTAAAAAGAAGAAAAAAAAAAACCTCTTTACTGTACTTACATGGTTGGAATTTGGAAGTTGGCCTCCCTGTCGAGGCGGTAAGCCACCTGGAGGGGGGTGGAGCCGTCCACCTTCCTCACACCTTTCAGGGGGATCACGTCCAGCTGGAACTGGGTGATCAGATCAAAACCTACGAACGATGCACATGATGATTGTAATAATTCTAATTGTAATAAAAATTATATTGTAATCATTATTCATATGTAAGAGTTAAATACTAATGATGATACAAATAAAATATAGATAAAGTCTGATAATATATATCATTACATTATAATAATTACTGCTGTTATTAATACAGTAGTAACGACAACAGTAGGAGCAACATTCTTCGCATTCAAACTGTATAAATTAGGACTGTTCATATATATGTATATATATATAAACTAATAATTATAATTACTAATAACTAGAAATCAATTCATGTTATGTAGCAATAACTATTTTACAGCTGTTTGATAATACTGGAGGGGATCAAATTCATGTTTTTTTCTATCCTTATGGATAATTATTTATTTTATGTTAAATTACTTTTCTGGTAATAATGAGAAAGTGATTTTGTTGTCACAACATGCAGTATAAGGCTTTTTTTTTTAGATAATATATTATTACATAATCTTAATTAAGAGACAATGATTTGTAATATTAATTAATTTTGGTAAGTTAGAATAATGTAACATGTTGTCATGATCATGAATTTATTGCTTCATGATCACAGGAAATTTATGGTAAAGTTTATGTTGAAATCACAAAATGAGGAAACAGAAACAAATAACTTTTTTCTTTGGTTGAAACTTCATTAAACCTCAGAGCGGAGTGCGTGCAGATGTGTTGAACTGTTTCAAACGGGCCAGTGGTGAGCAATTACAATCTTGCTGAGTTCGAATTGTTCCAAGTCAAATTCTGTAAAGCTCAAGTGGAACATTTTATTTGGCTCATTTGAAATCTAAAAGGTGTCCTGAGGCACGAGGCAGCCCACCCTGTTCAACTAATTAAACTCCCCACCTTACTTCAGATAGTCTGTTTTCTCTTTCAGGAATGTTTGAGGCTTGTGGTTTTTCCAACTGCTGCTTTCACTTCTGTTTGAAAACAGCCCAGCTATAAACAATCATTCCCAGTTTGACTAAACACGCTTTTACCTGGAAGGTCATCTTGTCCGCTTCTCATCGGCGGGCAGACGGTATCACCGTCCAGCCGGTTCAGGTCGAGTTCTGACGGGACAAAACAAGAATAAATAATCTCGTTACACTTGTTCTTTGCTGGATTTGACAAACGCAATACATTACCAGTCAGTTTAATTCAGTTGGTGTATTGCAGGAGGCCGACACAGGGGAAAAGCAAGGTCTTTAATGTCAGAGTGGATTAACATCACAATGCACCGTGATGTATTTTTAATGTAAGTTTTTCTTACAACCACGTTTAGTGTGTTTCACATATTCACACATTCACACAGACTGATCAACACAGTCTCCTGGGATGATGCGGGAACTCCCAGACGCCTTTTTATGATCAAAATTTGTCATCAGGAACGGAAACGTAATGTTGATAAATTCAGCAGCTGGTGTTGCATGACTGTGGTCACAGCCGTATGTCATCTGAAACATTTCAGAAGGTCAATATGGCAGGTGAGACTCTCTCCTTGTTATTTATTTGTATGATTTATCGATGGAAACTGTAATATATCACACTTGTATTTGATTTCTGTTTTCATCTTTGATATTTCTCAGCTGTTTGAATCTATAAAAAATGTATGATTTTATGTTGCTGTTTTATTTTGTTGACTCTAATCTACAAAATAAAAGACTGGCTTAGTTTTTCACTCCCATTAACAAACTTTCATTAAATATATACATGTATATATATATATTAATTGTATGAGACTTTATAAAAGATTACACTTCGGACTGTTTGGCATTAGAGTTCAGATTTCACTGTCATTGGCATTTTTCATGCAGTGGAAAATCAATTCCTGGAGTGTGTCAGAAGAGGGCGCTATCCTTGAGTCTCAACCGTACAGATGTGAAGGGGGGAAAAGCCTCTAATAAAAAAAAAGAAGGAACTCAATGAAGCGAGCGTGGTGACAGCCAGAGGGCCTCCCCAGTCAATAACCTGAGTCAGCTCATTTACCGTGAGCAGCGTGAACACAACACATCTGGAAGCTGTTCCCACATCCCACAAAACTGCTGAGAAATGAGATAAAGTGGTGAGACGGTATTTATAATCCCATATTTACTACCACTAAACACTTATCTGACTGTGCATGTGGGCCTCAAGTTGTTAAAGTTACTGTCTGCCGCGGCATTACGCTCAGAAAAGCCAGTCATTAGTGCAACGAGCGGGAGACGAACCACAATTAAGATGTCACATGCAGTTCCATGTGTGTGCTGTGAATTTGCACATCTACCTTATCTGGCTCTAACTCGCTGAGCATTCATGTTAGATTTATTGTGTCCTCCAAACAGCAGCAGAGAATGGGTTTGTTGTGATTATCAGAGGGGACATTTAATCTGATTTAATCCTACGACACAGGCCAGTACAGTGTGTCTGCTATTTCTGGCCCTTTAGCTTTGTGAGTTCTGATAAAGAGAATGACCTAGCAACAGTCAACAAGCCGCCGTTAACATTAACCTGGTTCCTCTTTGTCTGTGTTTGCAAGACAAACAGATGCACGGTAATGGTGGTTTTCATGCGATGCACACGGTACACTGATTTTGTGATTGTGCGTTGCACGTTGCGCTGTGGGTGACTTACGTCCGAGTGCCGGAGCGAGGAGGAGGGACAGCAGAGCCGTACAGACAGGGAAGTACGCCGACATCGATGGATGCTCTCTGTTCAGGAATGATGGAGAAAATCAGAATTCAGTCATGCATCTAATTCTCTTTGACAGTTTCTTGTGTGTGTGAATCAATATAACACCACTGGGATAACAGAGGTCACCGGCAAAGTACTACTTTGCTCATCCTGAGCACATGAGGAGACAGAAAATGTTTTCACTGTTCCTTCAAAATGTGCTGGCTTTGCATCCCAGTAAGGATGACTGTAAATAGGATATGACAGCAAAGGCCAAGTGGAGGTGGAACAATTGTTTGACGTAACTTTTTAGAAATGAAAAAATGCAGATACAAACAACTCAACTATTTCTACCGTGTTTGTGATGCGTGCGAGTCCAGCCCCACATGGTGTGTCATGCACAAGATTAAGTAAAGCTTCAGTTAATTTTGGAGGAAATCGAGCCATGGAACTAGTGCTAGTTAGCTAATCTGGTCATCTCAAATATCTTACAATGAAGTGTAGTTAAAATATTGTCTCAAAGGTCCAATATTTTACACTTTTCTGGACTTTTATTTGAAGTGTTGATCCATAAGAAGATATATTTGTGGTTTTAAGAACCAAAAACAATCTCATTATAGTTTTTCATCTCTCTCAGGCTTCTCTCTGGAGCTCTAGTAACAACAGGTCAGTGAGCCAATTAGAAGAGAGGAGGCTCTGAGCCTCTCTTCTGATTGGCTCACTGATCTGACTGTTTTCTGAGTGATCCTAAAAAAATATAAGAGATTTCAGGTAAAACACTCAGAGAAACCAAATCCTGCAAGGTTTGGATGGTAGGTCCAGGTGGGCGGGGCTTGAGGGCATGACTGAGGTCGGTCACTGCTCTGTTGTGACATCACAAAGTTCCAGAAGTCCTGACGGCTGGTTTTAAGGCCCTGTTTCTGAATACAGCCTGTGTGCATTTCTCTGTGGACTGAGGCTTTGATACTTTCACATTATTAATATAGAACCGAGCCCTGATCTATAATCAAACAACACATGGACATCTACCTTTATACAATATGGGACCTTTAAAGGCTGAGCCCTAGAAAAACTAATAAGTGGATACTGAGTTGGGATTGCTTTAAATTTTTAAATGAATTGTTTTGAATACTGAATACATAATGAAGAATATATTATTTGCCACTGCCTGCATTGGAAGTGGAGATGTGCCTCCACTCAAGTAACCTAAGAGCTGTATGAATACTATTACACACTGGACAAGGTGGATGATAAATGACAGCAATATCATGCAGCCTTTTCCAAGTGATCTTACACAGCGGTGCACTTGTCTAAGCAGTGTTACATTATATCCACACTTTCACTTGCATTATCACACACTTCGTCTTTAGTTTTCTTTATGTATTCTGAGTAGTGACAGCTTTGCACAGCAGTCCCAAACCCATCATCATCATGACAGATAGTGATAGCGAGGACTCTTTTCCAAAAGCAAAGGTTGTAGCTTGTCAGTCTGGAAAATGAATGATGTAGAGGTTGGCATGGCCCGTCCCCACTGTGTGAACTCTTCTGCAAATGTGTAGGTTATCTTGAGAAGTACGTGCATGTGTGTGCGTACAGTCAGAGACATGACTAATGGCTAGGTCAGCAAGGTCTCTTCAGAGGAGGCGTTGCGCTCTGACATTATGCCCTTCACTTAAAGGACCTTCCTCAGAGCCCCAGAGGGACTCACTGCCCTCCACGCCAATCCATCTACTGATGCATGTCACGGATGAAATGTGACATAAAGGAAGCCTTCACTGTTTAACCCCTAAAGTTTACAAACTATCTAAGCTAAGCTAATGTTGCATTCACACAACGTTGATACAATCAGAGGAACAGGAACAAATACATCTTATTCCAACAAGGGAGTGTTCCTGCCTTATTCCAAGTTGGTTAGCCCAATTGCTAACCATGTAGTCATAGCAGATAAACAACGTAATTTGGCTACTTTTCTTGTGTTTTGTATTTGTCGCAGTTCATTAGCAAATGAAACAAGATCCCAACAGTGTACAGCTCCTATAAAATGAGCTCAACTGACTGTATTGGTGTGAATACTGGATTGTATTTTAATGTAACTGCCAGCGTTGGTACATTTCCAGCTGTTCTGCCAACGGTTTGTTAACATGTCTGTAGTTATTTTTATCAAGTGGGAGACACTGTTGGTGCCATAAAGTCCCTATAACTCCCTCCAACTCAGAATTACAAACATGAATGGGTTTTCCTGCTCAGCTGCTCATAATTACAGTTTAAACATTACCGCTGAACTGTGGCGTAAAAGGACAAAAAGGAAGAAAACATGGGTCATAATTTATGGTTAGCTAACAATGTGTTGAGTAAGCAATAAGAAAGGAAACCGTTTAGATACAGCAGTTACCCACTGGAAATATACATAAATATTGCAGTGAGTTTCGTTTTGTTTCGACAAGTTGACAGAAGTACTGCCACATTAAGAGGCATCTCGCAGCATCTCAGATATTTTATGCTATCATAAGTTTTGCCAGTAAAATCCAGAGGGGAAAACATTCTCTGTTGCAGGGAATGGAGGTGAGTGGTTTGCTGCAGCTGCTTGGTCAGCCGTGTTTTTAGTGCCAGTTTTCACGGCAAATTAGTCCTAGTTAAGATGTTCAAGAACTTAACAACTTTGTGCACTGGATGAATTTAGATGTCTGACTATTAGTTTGATAAAAAAAAGTCCATCACTGTGAAACCAGCTCCTGACTGGAGGTTCCTATTCAACAGGCAGATATGAGAGTGGCACCGACGTTGGCAGGAAAGCAGATAAATGTATTTCCCAGTGTGTGAAATTATTCTTGTAAGACAGATAACTATGTCCATGAAGCAAATCAAAAATGATTTTGTAACTGGTTTCCCATGAAGGATCTCTTCACATAATAGCAGCTCTTATAATTCTGTACACAACAATTGTGAAGGAAAGAGCAGAAGGAGACAGAAGGATTAAAAAATTAACAGAGGTGTGCTTGTTTGTTTGGCACAAAATGATTGTTGAGGTTTTCAGGTTGCATTTGTCTTCACATTTAGACTGATGCAGGTAACAATTTGCAAAGAGAATTGCTTCAAGTCCTTTGTGTATTAGACAAATAAATCCACAAGGGTAAATTGTCACTGTAAGTAATGACATGAAAGCCATCAGAAGGATTTGAAAAGTAGACAGCTGTCTTAACGAAGGCTCACGGGGCTTCCTAAGTGTTTGTTTGCCCCTACACTGACATGAAACGTCATCAAACCTGCACCAGTATTACATTTACTGTAAATATAATTGTGTGTAATGTGCATCCTCCAAGATTAAAGAGCTGTGGTTACACACAGAGAGACGCTGCACTGCGTTTAGAGCTGCCACAGTTCAGAAGTGAAGAAAATACTTCCAAATGAAACATCACAGGACAAAAAAAAAAAAATCCCCATATATTCCAGTAAATGTCCCTTCATGTAATCAGTCAGTCGATTAGGTAATGACATGTCATCCTCTTTAATTCCTGACATTCATCAACATTTGATGGGACTTTCCTTTTGCTGCCACCCATGTTGTGATGTTCTTATGGTGCAGAGTGAGCCAACGCTCCCGACATCATTTCTCATTTGTCTTAATCAACCCAAAATGGTTCACTGTTGAGCGTACAGCAATCAGCCGTACAGTTCAGCCATGTTAAAACTGACTACTACTGTACGGACAAAGATTTCGAGCAGTAGATGATGCTGCTAGTCGAATATGAATTCATTTATTCAGGCTTTTTTCCTGACTGGAAAACACTGGAGGGCTAAAGACCGGAAGCTTGGTGTTTATCACTTGAGAGCTTTTTTCCCTTTTACTTTGTTAAAATGTCATCCACTGGAGGTTTATATGCTGCATGTGTGTGCGTGTGTGGGCCAGATTAAAAGGCAAATGGGCATCTTCTTTAATCTAGGCTAAGCTAAAGATCCTGTTGCACTCATCAAGTCCCTGAGTTATCAGTCAGAGGGAAATGTAGATGTTTCCTCTTCCTAAATGAAGATTAGAAACTATTAGTGAACACCCAGTCTTAAATGAGTCTTCGTTGTTATGGAAACATACACAAAAAAAAAAAAAAAAAAAAAAAAGCGCAGAAAGATGAAGAGCCCTGACAGAAATTGAGACATGAGATATTTACCTCGTCAAACCAGAGTAGTGGAAGGCCATGTTTCACTCCCTCTCCGTGACAGGAGACAGAAAGGCTCAGCAAGGAGGCACAGCGGTGAGATGCAGGAGCAGATGGAGCCTCGTGTGTGAAATTCCCTCCCTGAAGTCAGTCCTACCTGCGCATGTTGAGGACTGACTGAGGCAAGCAGTGCAGGGGATGCTCAAGCATTTTCTGAGGACACATAAAAGTTTGTTCAATGGGTTCCCATTGGCCAGGAGTTCTTCAGGAGGTGGTGACTACTTTTTTTTTATTACCAACACTTAAAAAGATGCAGAAGCCCACGGGCCTCCATGTGTAACCCCCTCTCTGCTTCTTCTTTCACAGTGCCTCCTAATAACATGTGCCACCTGTATGTAATTCTCTTAATAATTATAGCCAGTGAGTGATGAAATGTGGATTTCATAATCACGTGTGCTCATCAGTGTAGCTGAAGAATGCATGTCGGCCTGTAGTGTTGACGCGAATTTAGCCTTGTTATTACCTGAGGGGCCTCAGGCAGACGTGCTGTTTATGCATCCTGCATGTTATGTAATTGATTTTATGGTGTTTGAACTGTGATTTTTGCTGCACTTCAGGAGCTCTGAGAAACCTGAAAAATGTGCTGATGATTTACTTGCAGGAGTGTCACATTAACCCAAATCAGAAAGTACTCTGTGGCATTTTCGTTTACTCCTACTCTCTTTAGCCTGTGCAGACATTTTGACATTTGTTAGACGTCCAACTTTGTCAGCTCCGATGGTACAGAACCATACCGCTTTGTCGTGTGTACAGATCTCTCTGAAGCAAATGTCATTTGTGTTTGAAGTGCATGAGTGTGCTGCAGGGTTTCGCG